AACTCAACATAGCCAGGGGATTAAATGAAAGGTGCACACGTTCATTGTGTCGTGCTAAAGAACAAATGTGCACAGAGGCAGAGATAGCAATACAAGGCATAACCTGGAAGATTAACAAAAAGCAAAAGGAGCACAATCCTGTTGTGCAAAGGAAGAAGCATACATGTGCACCTGAACACGTCACTCTTGACAGTGATGATGCGGCTGTAATCCGGATCCACATAGCCCGGAGTGCCGGCCACTCGCGTGGCATCAGCGTCGCCGTGAGTGAGGCGCTTGAGCAGTCCAAAGTCAGCCACCTTGGCTTGCATGTCTCCAGTCATGAGGATGTTGGCCGACTTGATGTCGCGGTGAACGATGGGTGTGTCCAACCCATGCAGGTACGCCAGGCCCTCTGCTGCTCCTTGTGCCAGGCGCAGCCTTTTGCGCAGAGAGAGGGGACCTGAGCCATGAAAATGTATACCGAGCAGCTCGTGGTTTTATGAGTGATGGTGTCATGGTTAGTGCGAAAAAAAAGGCAACCATTCAGCCATCATGCCATTGCAACTTACGTTTGGTGCCGATTCCTCCGCCCGAGTGCGCCTGGCAGCAGGTTACCATGGATTTCGTCACAAGGTTACCTTCGAACCCTGTGGGTAACAACGCGGTTAGGTCGTCGTTGACAGGCTGACGAAAATGGCACACTTCTCTGCGTGCAAGAAGTCGATCTCAGCCGAAGAAACCGCTCGCCTGTATGCCTGCACAGGATACCAGCAGCGATTATCAGCGACAGAGACACGAAGTTCACCAGCAATTTCTGGAAGAACCTCTGGGAGCAGTTCGGGACCATGCTATAGTTCAGCTCGTCGTACCACCCCGAGACCGACGGTCAAACGGAACGGACGAATCACACGATGGAGCAGTTGATTCGTGCCACGTGCGACGACCCGACAACTTGGGAGCAGCAGCTGCCGCTGATTGAGTTCGCGTACAACAACGCCACGTCAGCGAGGACGCAGCAGTCCCCGTTCTACCTGAACTATGGGCAAAATCCAACAGTGCCCTTGACGCCGAGTCCGGACAACCCCACGCCACGTGCACAGCAATTCGCCGAGATTCTGCAGGATGCCCGAACCAGAGCCGCAGAAGCCATTAAAAAGGCAAATGTCATCGCTAAGCGCAACGCTGATCGCCACCGCCGCCCAGTCACATACCAGTCAGGAGATTACGTACTGCTTGACACGCAAAATCTGCGACTGCCCAACGTACCGAAACTTCGACCTCGCTACTGTGGCCCATTCCAAATCAGCCACATGATTACACCAGTAACCGCCCATCTACTATTACCGACCGGCTGTTACATCAGCCCATCATTCCACGTCAGCCTGCTTCGCCCATACATCCCAACCACAAGCCAACCGTCTCGTCACCGCCCGCCATCCATGACTCGCCCTGCATCGGAGCCGATCATCGAGCAAAAGAAGATTCTAAGCCATCGAATTCGACATCCCACGGAAATCAGGAGGATCGAGTTCTTCATTCGCTGGAAGGATCGCACGACAACTGAGGATAGCTGGGTGCCCCTAGGCAACATTGAAACCCACCCTGCCTTGCAAGTGTACCTGAGAAGCCGAGGTTTCCGCGATATACACGCACTCGCGTAGCAGAGGGGGCTTCTTGAGGGGGGGGGGGGGGGTAGTGTAAGGAATTTTCTCGACATTCCTTAGCGCATCCGGCAACATCGCGTATGGCAGCAACCGTTGTTCGCATCCGACTTCGCGCGCACTATTTTACCAAGCCTCGCACTGCTGGCCCGGCCGTGTCGGCCTACGCTTCGGGACTAGCCCGAACCTCACTGCCAGCGTAGCACTAGCTAGCTCGCACGCACCGCGTTACCGTTTGCATGTTTCGCGTATAAATGTTCGCACATGCCTTCCCCCACATTTTGCACTAGTTTGATACTTAGGGCGCGTAACTTTTTCGCTATTCATCGTCCGGACGGAGGCCCCGTCCGGACTTTTGTAGGGTTACTAAAGTCTTCAGGATTCGTCAAAAGGTTCGCAAGACCCTTCGCGACGTCGCGATCGTCCGTACAAGGAATGACAATTTTCTGTCAGTTCATCGTCCGTTCTACGCTACAGACACCGTCCAGACAGCACTTCGGACCGTCCGGAACCCCTGCAACGTCATTGGTGCGCGAGACACATTTTTTCAGAATCAAATTTCACACTCCAACTTTAAATTTGTTTGAGTGTTGTGCAGTAGCGCGAGCAAGATGTCTAAGTGGTTGGAAAGTTCAAGCATTACCGAGCCGCAAATGCATGCTTGCGAATTGGGCGATGTGCTGGCGAGGTAGGTTAGGGCGTGTTACATTTTTCATTTTATTCGTCCGGACGGCCAACCGTACGGACGATTGTGTGGTTACGGAACTCGTTAAATCTCGGCAGTGATTTTGTTAGGGTCTAAAGGACATCGCATTCTTCGTATTGCCTTCTTATGACATCACATTGGTCGCAACGCG